TCTCCCCGGTTCTTCATTTCACATTCTCCTCTCGTCACTGCAGCTTGCTCCGCAGAGAGCCAGGGAATTGGCAAGACAGTCTGTGAGGATGAAAGACTCTGAGAGCAGACCAGCATCTTTCATATATCTTTCTTCCAGAAGGAATGCGGACAAGTCTAAGAAAGCTGGATTTGTGTAAATTAGCCCCATCCCAATCCCTGGAGACCATTTTATTTTAAAATCTATTCAACAATCAATGCCATTAGCTCAACAGATGGCTTGTTAATCTTTAGAGCAACAGCCAGACTTTAAATTGTCTTCCATTTTGCAAGCTCTTCTCGGAAGGGAAAAGTAAATGAAATAGAAAAGAAAAAAATTTCAATTCAACCCCAGGGAGACCTACAACATATTCATTTCAGGCCTAGCTTTTCAGGTCAACTTTAGCAAATTTTTGTTGGTTCGATGCTCATCTATCTCTAGGCAAAGAAAGTAAATGCATTGATTCTTTTTTGAAAACGGTGAGCAAAATGCAGAACATTTGTCAGTCAAAGAAAGAGCATAACTCTCAAACCTGATCAACTCAAACCTGATCAAATCAAACCTTGCCATTATTGACAAGCATATATGTTTTCTCTGAACTTGGGGACAGCCTTGAAAATACATCTAATAATTTTCCTGGAAATCCCAAAGCTCTGCCATCTCTAGATCAGATTGTGTAAAGATTTTGTTTTTAGTGATCTCACTACCTCTTTTCCTGATGCTTTCAGGAACCAATTCCCCACCATGTTACTCCCATGCACACATGGACAGACAGACAGACACACATACACACACTTCTTAAACAATTTACACTAGCTTCTGATTCTTTTAATATTAAATAAGTTAGAGCCATAAAATAGGGGTGAGTTTTCTTCTGCTGTCTCCCACCCATGATACAGTTGGACCCTAAGTCCATCTTGTGGCCTCAAGATCGTAATTTCCCTGAGTTGGCAGGAAAAAGTGTTAGACCTTAAGGAGTGCCCCCTGACGAATCCATGTGATCCACTAATTCATTTGGTGCATCTGGGACCATCCATATGAGAATGTGGGCAAATGTGGGATAAGGAATTCAGATCTTCCTCGTCCCTAAATCCTGATTCACCTATTTGGATTTGGAAAAGATCTGGGGAGGGCATTTCCAAATCTATGGCAAATGAGTTTGCCTTTGGTCTGCTTTGTCTGCATCAGAGAAGCCAAATTGAAGAATCAGGGGCACCACTTCTGGGAAGAGAGAACATCAGGTAGAGGCAGGGACTCCCCTCCTGCCAACAGGGCTGTACTTGACCACTCGGGTTTGTGCTGCTACTCAAGGAAATACATGCTAACCAACCCTACCTCCCTAGGAAGCTGCACCAAATCATTTTCTCCATCTCTCCCCGGAGAAGCCAGATCTTGCCTAGTGTTGAGCATGTTATCTGGGGGCTGTTTGTGAAAGGAAAACAGATGATTTCATCCTATCTTGAAGGAGCAAGAAGCTTTTTGGAATCACAGATATTCTTCATGACAACTCTGTGACAATGTAGGAACCTCAAGTGCCTTCTGAATCCTCAAAGAAACTGCTGCTGAGAGCTGGGACATTTTCATGGAATCTATATTGTTACATTTTTCTGTTTCCTGGAAGACTGCAGAACATTGGGAGAGGCAGTTGGTGACCTGTGAACAACACTGAGTGGGGAATATGGGCACGCGTGTGCCAACACCCAAGCCTAAAGAGTTTCCATTTCAGCACCTGTAAAATCAGTGCATGAGATCCTCTCTAGGACTCTTCCAGCCCTGAGATTCTAGGAGTTCGCCTATTTCTAGTAACCTGAACATTTCATTAGGCAGAATTTTCCATTCTCTAGCTGTGCCAGATAGATGAGATAACTTACTGTATGAATTGGAAGTCTCGAGCCAATAAGGAAAACCTACCCACATCTCAGACTGCCTTCTGCTTGTTGATGTCAGAACAAGAATTATTGTGGGTAATCATCGAAGGACGTAAAAAAGAACAACGCGTACCTGGCAGAATTTGTATATCAGTGCATTGCAATTTGCCAAAGTGTTCTTGAAAGTTCTATCTTCCATTACATAACTTTTTATCACTTTCTTAAAAACTGTTCCAGTCGGGCTGGCATTTTTTATGATTTGCCTTGCTTCAGAGATAAGCACATTGTTAATGATGAGACGAAACTTCCCAGGTATTTTTGAAGTGAAGAGGCTGAGATTGGCAGAGAGACGCCAAAGTAGGGGGTTGAGCAGAGAGGCTGTTATTTAAAATATTTAAAAGGCAAGATGGTACAGATACTGCTCCGATAATAAGCTGAGAGTGAATTTCAAAAACCTTAGATTCTTAAAATAGGTAATTCTCCATGTATATAAATATGCACAAGGTTCAGAAACTTAAGGAGTGTACTGGGATTGAAACTGAAGTAGGCATTTTAGGGCTTTTTCTGTTCAGCCAGCTGTGAGCCTTAGGAAGCCACCCCTTGGCATCGTGTGCTGTTGGTCCAGGAGGATGGAATATCCCTACAAACTGATGGGAAGTGTGTTTCCTTCCAGTTCTGCTCATGAAGGTGTCTTATAGCCTGTTACTGGTTTGTTTTTAAGAATTAATTTTCTCCTTCAGTGGCGTAACTACTCTAATTCATGGCAACCTGCCTTACAGGGATTTTTATTTTGTTTTGTTTTTAAACTTAACTTGCACTTACAGCACCGTTAACTGAAAATCTACACACAGAATCCAGGCAGGGGAATGATTACTAACAGCTTCTTACCTCTATGTATGCCGAGAGTTACCAATGCAAAAGTGGGAATTTCACATTGCCACCTGTGAACCAGCAGGTGACTATCATACAACACCCTTCAGGGATTCTTTTTCTATAGATACTTTCACTTGACTAATGCAATTAACCATTAGGAAAATAAACTCTTACTAATATGAATATAAAGGGTATTTTGGAAGCAGCAAACTGAAATGGATTATGTGATTTGTGAACGCTTTCCTAAAACGTATGTGACTCACATACTCAAATAAACGCAATTAATTTTTTAAAGTGTTATCTTAGCAATGGCTCTACTTTCCTATTCCTTAGGGGAATAAAAATGTGCTTTCAGTTAGGCATCTCTCTGTGGTCGTGCTTACCGAGATATATTCTAAAGTTGTCCTCCAGGGGGCGTTAAATCTTCAGCAAAGCTCTGATTTCTCTGGAAGTTGTTCAAACCCAGTTAGCAAAGCAGACAGTCTGGCTTCTTTCTCACTGGGATGCCGAAGTGCCCATATTCTGAATTTCACATCCCAGACTTTCAGAAGAGGGCTTACATTTTTTCAGTAAGGATAGGGTGGGTCTGCCAATCCTTTGGTCCTGGGGTATATGCCAGTGTAGTCTAGCCACGTTGCTCTGAATGCTCTACTGAAGGTCTTGGATTGGCCGACTCTCATGGTCCATGCCAGTAAGCTTTTAAGAGATTATTGATATGCACAGGAGCTGCTGTGCTTTCCAAGGGCAGAAATGTGATTCCTGGAGGTTCCAAAGACAGCCTGATGTGGGTTGGAGAAGGATCTGTGGGTCAAAATTGCCAAGGATCAATCCTTCCTAGTTAAGCCCCATAAAGGGCTATTTGTGCTGTTAATGAAATCATCACTTCGGATAATCTGCAAACCTCTTGGTCTGGGGAAGCTGAAACTTCAGTAGTAAAGTGTATGATTGTAAAGTAATGCAGCACAGTGGTTAAATCTGATGGACTCGATTTCAGTATCTGCTCTACTTCTTATAAGGCAAGGATCCTGAACTCATTACCGAAACTCCTGTGTCTCTGATCCCTCATTTGCAAAAGACTATTTCATAAGGTAATTGGAAGGATTAATTAATACAACCCAAAGAAAGTACTTGGTGTGTCCTGGGTGTTCCATAAATTCTATTAGTCATTCTTACTCCCAAGAATTGAGATCCTTCTGATGGGCCTCCAGCTTTGTCTCTCATTACTCCCCTACAAAGACTTCTTCATCCCAAATACCAGCCAACACTTTTTACCTCTTTGCTCCCCCTGGTTCAGCTACCTTCCTTGCCTGTATTACTCTCTGATGAGATCCCACCCAAGTTCCAAAGGTTATCTGTAATGGTACCTCAAACCCAAAAAACCCAAACAATTTCCTACTCAAGAACTGAATGAGCTTTCTCCTATTTCTGAACAGTAGCAGAATCATGATATCTTGATAAACAGGAATATACATTTGTCAAAACTTGTGGAACTATACACTTAACATGACCACATTTTTAGCATGTAACTCATACCTCTACAAACCAACCTAGTAGGAACATGAGAGGGTCCCAGCTTTTGGAGAGAGAAAGATATACTTCAAATTCATGTTCTAGTACTTTCTACTTGGTAGGCCATTGAACTCCTTCCAACTGTAGTCTCCTTTAAATGGGGTAGTTGTCACGTTCTCCTTTAGTAGTGAGGGTTGAGAGCCATAATCATAGTATAAAAATGCCTTACACACAGTGGGTGCTACACTCTTAGCATCTTCCTTTTCAGCATCTCTATTTCTGTGTTACTCATATACCCCTGCCCACAAAAGGTGATCCTAAGGACAGAATGTGCGCTGTCCTCTTCTTTTACATGTTTCTAGTATAAAGTAAAAATACTGTGTTTAGCTAGGTATATATAGATAGATATGCATATATCTATATGACATATATACATATATATATTTATGTAATATATATATTCAACTGTTGGACAGTAAGCACCTAGCAGCATCCCCACTGAAGTCTCTGTAGGGTGCCACACTGCATTATCACTCGGGTTTGCTAAGGCTAGTATTTTAAAGTCTGACAGATACTTTCCTTGGTCGATAATTCAACTATGGCTCCCCGGTGTAGAGTAGGGCTTAATAACACATCTTTCATTATGATAGTTCTTTAGGGTCATAAGGGTTGTCTATTTCTCTCGAAAGCAACCGAATGGCCATACTGTTTTCTGGACCAATAAGTCACTCAGTTTTCCATGGTTCAAAGTTAAGCTTTTATTTGGTTTTAAATTAAAAAAATAAATTTCATTATTAAATAGTGAGATGGATCTAACTTATGTTCAGAGAGTAGCTTACTCAAGGAATATACCACTGGGGGTACAAGGAAGGGGTGGGTCACCTAAACTAAAATGATTCGTTATGTTGTCATGTTTGTTAAAAGTTCAACAGTGGCATAAGTCAAAAGAAATGGATATACAAAGTTTTAAATGTTTACAATGGATGGGAGAAGTAAACCACTTATCTATCGCAACTGCCAACAAATTTCTTTCTCGGCGCTGGTCGGCTCGGACGCTATACCACAGTGCTAATGTCGTCAGGCTCATCTGCTTTCTTCTGCCTGCTCGGCAGGGATTTCAAGTATTCCAGGTGTCTCCGGGCATCCTCCTGATTTTGCCTCACGTAATATACCACATAGGAGATCACCATGGTGAACCAGCCAAACATGGTGACCAGCATGGCATAGTCAGTAGTCTTTTTAGGGAGGTTACAGAGGTCAGCGTCATTGGCAGCATTGAGGAATGGTCTCCCGGCGTGCTCGTCCAACACAGAAGTCTTACAGATCACGTTGTGGGCTGTTTCGTGGTTGGATGCCATGCTCCTCAGAACTTGCTGTAGAGTACAGTCGCAGTGCCAAGGATTGTTGGCAATTCTGGCCCTGGCCTTCAGGTTATTGAAGGCATTTTTGTGCACACTTTGAATCCGGTTGTCAGACAAGTCCAGAGTCTGCAAAGTTTCAGCCACGCCTTTGAAGGCATGCTCATCGATAAACTCAATGCCGTTTTTGGACAAGTTGAGAACTCTCAGTTGATGAAGGTCCTTAAAAATCTCGTTGGGGATAGAGGTGATCTGATTGGAGTCCAGATACAATAAGACTGTTTCAGGAGGAAGATCTCTAGGTATTTCCTTGAGATTTGCATTGCTACAGGTGACATTTAAACCCCCAGAGGAAGAACAGAGACAGCCCTTGGGACACATACTGGCAGAATGAAAGCACAGTATCATAAGAACAAAACTTTGTAGGAGGAGACACATGGAGAGGGAACGGGTTAACCACAGGTCTACCAGATTCATGCTGAAATGTCAGCATAATCACAAGCCCATTCCTCATTCACTCCAACAAGCAAGCGTGGCAACGGTTCCAGCCCTGTCCACACTGTTGATTTCCTCCTTGCTTGGTTCAAAAGGTTGTAACTAACACACGTGTCTCTTCATTATTCCTGTCCTTGCTTGGGTACCTAAAGGAAAGGGAAGCAGATGTAATTAGCTTTTTTGCAGAGGGAGGTACACTGCAATTAAAAGTGCTCTCAGGCGTCTGGTGTTCTATGTGGGCAGGAGAGTTGGTTATGTAGTTAATTTTCATCGATAGCACTGGGAGTTATCTGCATAATGGGAGTCTCTTGCTCAAATCCCAGGTGTTGGGCAAAAGGACTGTCAATAAATGACATTTCCGAATCCTGTTGCCTTGGTTATAGTTCTGCAGAATTACAGCAAACAGTCCAGATTTCTCTTGCCTCTACTTGTCCTCTCAACGTCCTGAACCCCTTCTAAATTAGACATCAATAAAATTTAATTAGACCTTCCCCCCTTTCTATAGTAACAGATGCATTAATGCAATTTAGACCTGCTCTTCAGCAGCAATGAGAAATAACACCGATATTTCATGGTTAATGACCATAGATAGCAATAATTGTCATGGTTTTTGAATGGATGTCCAGTTGGAATATTTTCTCTAAAGAAACATCTTACTTGAATTAAGAAAGGAATAAATGCATTCCAACTTTCACAACAGAATGTCCCTAGGGGCTGATAGACCAGGTTCTCCGAAAGGGCTTTCTCCCTATTTTTCTCTGTTTTCTAAATGAACTATCCTCTCCCCAGTAGATCTTCAAATATGACACACACCTCCAAGGCTTATTTTTATCCATTTATTTATTTGTTTTTAAGATTTTATTTATTTATTTGAGAGAGAGAGATGGAGAGCAAGTGGAGAAAGGGGCAGAGGGCGAGGGGGAGGGAAAGGGAGGGACTCCCAAGCAGATGCTGCGCTGAGCACAGAGCTGGACATGGGGCTTAATCTCACAACCCTGAGACCATGACCTGAGATGAAAGGAAGAGTCTGACGCTTGACTGACTGAGCCACCCAGGTGCCCCTTCAAGACTTTTTAAAATAAAATATGAGATAAGAATTTAAATATATTAGCCTCTAAAACTTTCCCAATAGCTTATTTTTTTCTTTCTAATCATAAATATATGATTGTCGAAATATATATATTATTCATAAATATATATGTATATATATACAAACATACAATATTGTTGGCAAGGCTTCTAAAATGACAAAAATTAAGTGATATAAGTAAGGATACAAGCTTATTCAAAAACAGAGATGAGAATATAAGTGAACACTCAAACCTACTTTTTCATGTGAGAAGACAGGCATCTTTGACACCAGTTCACAGAGGAAGTGAGCAGATTTTGGAGAGATTATGAGATTCGCCCAAGGTCATATAGCTTGTAGGTGGTAGAGACAGGACTCAGGCCAAAGGCTTTGTTCTGACTTATTAATCTCCTAACACTCTCCACTACCCCCACAACTTTCTCCCGATCTCGTCCATTCTAAGGGTCCTCCTAGGACTCAGGATCCATGGAGCATTGCTTGTTGTGATTTCTGATGCTGTTATGTTGCAGCTCAATCCCAAACTGAGTAACCTATGGAGTTGGAGGGAGCTCCATGTATGAATTCAGAGGGTCCTCTTTCAGGATGTGAGAAATAAGGAGAATGTTCCTTCCTCTCATTGCTGTAAGTAACAAATGACTCTCTGCAAACTTATCTTCTCTAAAGATCCCAGATGGATAAATACAGAGGGAAATGATTCCAAATGTTACCAAACTCACAGAAGAGAAGATTAATGTGAGCTGAAAACATAATGAACGGGGCTGTTAATCATGGAAAAAATGAGATTAGCACCAGCAGAATGGAGTGGATGTGCTTTTGGAATCCTGAATCCCTTAAATGCCAGAGAACGCTAAAGAAGGACCCCTAGGCTTATGAAGCCATCCATCAATGGCTCATTTCATTTGCAGTGAGTTTCCCTCCCTTCCATGTTTTCCTTCAACAGTGCATTGCATGATATTTGGGCACTCTAGTGATTTTCTAGATAGGAGAGAGAAAAAATAAACAGGTGTGGAGGGGAGGGCACTCAGAGAAGAAAGAGGGTGGGCAGAAGGATAAAGCAAAGGATGCCAGGATGAGAACATAGAAGGACACAGGAGATGGGAGACATGAACTTGAACAGAGAAAATAAAAAGAGTCTATGTAATCAACCAACTCTCGTCAACAGCACAGATCCTGTTGAAAAGTGAAAGGCCTTCTCTGGGAGATACTCCACATCTCTCCAGAGACAGATTTAGAGTCTATCTGAAGAAAAATGTCCACCAATTGGGACTAGAAGTTCTAGGAGGGCAGGATCTTATTTCTACCTCATGAAGAAACAACAGCAAACGATTAAAAAGTGAAAACTACACTGGTTTGTGTCCCAGCTGAAATCTTTGTTAGCAATGTGTTCCTGGGCAAGTTATTTAACCTTGCCAAACCTCATTTTCCTTATCTTTGTATAGAAATTATAAAATAACCCAATTACAGAGTTGATTTGAGAATCATATGAGATAATCTACATAAAGCGTTTAGCCCAATGCCTCAAAAAGCAGTGGGAGTTCAAAATTGTTGGCTATAGTTACTATTATTATTCCAGATATATTCTCAAATACTACCTTAGTTCTTGGCATGCAGTAAGGGCTAAATAAATGTCTATAGGATGAATGGTCCAATAGAATATTGAAGGATCCAGCTATGCTTTTACTTCCTTATGGTGACTATTTTTATTTTTAATATATACATTGGTTCATCCAATGTCTATTGATTTTATATGTTGACATGGCAGTCTTTGGAAAAAATCATTATGCAGGCTCTTAGTTGATGGAAGAAAGAATGGAGCTTCTTTTCAGTAGGTTCCTTGACACTTAATCTTGATTTCTCCAGAATGACCAGTCCAATGGTCATGGTAACAGCTGAGAAATGATTAGGACACACCGTGAGTTCTCAACATCAGAGTGTAATACCTCTTCATGCCCAAATGATCTATCTAGACAATGAGTAGAATGCCTATGAGGAACAAAAATACAGAGTGTCTCTTGTATTCAGAGAGGTTGGACTCAAACTAAGTATCCTTTTTCTTTCTATGATGTTTGATAAAAGAGAAATAAAAGCTCTGGGATTGGCTAGATGACTGGGCTGCTATGACTCAGCCCCTAGAGCCTCCACCCTCAGCCAAGACGAAGTGAGAAGAGAGATAAGAAATAGAGAACTGAGCCCTTCAATTTCCAGGAGGCACACAGAGGCCCAAAGTTATTGAGTCAAGGTCACCTTCAACAAGAAGGATGGAAGAACTGCCTTTCCACTCTCTTATGCTAAATTATTATTTTCCAAAGGGATTTAGCAGCTTGACATTGTCTTATATTGTTCCTAGGTCAAGAGGGTTTCTTGGAAAGGGAAGACATGGGGAGATGTGCCTCATAGTAAAAATGTGGGTATTCATGGGTTATCACCCAGCATAGCACAGGTCTAAAGAGCAGCGAACTCTGAAACAAACATTCTAAATCTCAAACATCCTCCTGCTCTGTTTCAGTCAGGTCTATCCACAAACGCAAAATAGCAAACAAACTATACTGCTGGGAAAAGAGAGGGCCTCCTTACTAACTTCAGAATGAAGATACAGAGAACAAAGAAGGGCAGGGGTCACACTGGTGATGGCAAGAACAGAAGCAGCATTACTTCCTGTCCTCCTGATAAGGAACAAGACCAGCGAAAGGGGCAGAGCAAATTGAACAGCATCTTGTCTACCTCTTGACTCCTCCTCTCCACTTCTCAACTCATTATACTACCCTATCCTCATTCCCTCATTCCCTTTCAGTATGTCTGGGGCAGGACACTAGGACACTATGGTATTTTTGGATGTGGTGTTTAGGTATGAGCTGTGCTCCCAAAGGGGGCCATTTTATCCCCAGACCCATGCCTTGCTCACATTTCCCTGTCACACAGGTTTCCGAGCCACAGCAATTAATGCCTAGATTGGGTGGCAACCATCAAGTACTGTTTCCAGAAGGAAAAAAAAGTGCATTTAGCAGACAGCCCGAGAAGACAGATCTTTCAGTGGTTGATTAACAACTCTATCTTGCTTCCTGTTCTTTTCTTCCCATCATTAGGGGACACTCAGGGACACTCAGGGCTTCTAACCCAAAGCTTTCATTAACTCTTCTGAGATAAGTGAGTGTACCAATTCAGGAAGAAATACCAGGCACACCGATTTCTCCCAATTACATTCCATGCAACTCTCCTACCCACAGGATTTGATTAAAAAGCAGAACAGAGCAACACAGGGAAGCCTTTCGATTTGGGAGGGAAAATTCAAATCAATGGGAAAAAAAAACAAACCTCATAAATTTAAGTACTTGAGATTAAAACTTACATGGCAAAAAGTAAGACCATACACAAAAAGAAAGGACAGGTGATAAAATAAAGGGTTAATTTCTTTAGTATAAAAGAAGTTCGTACAAAGGGATGAGAACTTGATCCAACAGAAAAATGGGCAGAAAAGCAATATACACAAATGACCAATAAATCACATGAATAGATCTTTGATCTCACTGACAGTAAAATAAATTCAAGTTAAAGTACCTAACATCTTGGTTAAAACGAGGAAGCATAGCCACTGTCAGTGAAGGTGTAAAGAACACTCTCAAAATTTGACAAGGGGACACTTGGGGCTCTCTTCTTGTATGAGCAACTGCGGAATAGCTATTCAAATTTTAAAAGACAAGAACAACTTAGACTGAATTGTACCGACGTAAAGGTCTCCAAAGATGACCTCAAAAAACAGCTTGGAGAAAGGGTTTCCTATAGCATCATCTTATTTGTGCAAAATTTTTAAAAAGAGAAAGTAAATGTGCAGCTATAGGTATAGAATTTATAAGTTTCCATATGCATAGATCATTTCTGAAAGGATCCATATGGAAGGAAATGCATAAGAAACTATTAATTGTGCCTGAGGAGTGGAACTCAGGGTCAACAGGGGGAGAAAAGGAGTTTGTTTTTGTTTTTGCTTTTTAGTACCCTTCTGATGGATTTAACTTTCTGTGGTATAAAGGTGTTTTGTTTGTTTTGGTTTACATAAAAATG